ATTTCATTGCTAACATAATTCTGAAGGCTGGTGAAGATGAAATTAGTTGGATTAATGGTGTTTTCAGTCTAAAAAATTCCTGGATAGCTTGTAGGGCTAGGGGCAAGTGGTTAGGTGGAGTTACCTGTGTTAGAAATTTTGCAGACCTCGGATTGCTGCTGTGTTTGTTATCATTATGCATAACAAAAATTTATCATGTGTTAATTTACAAAGACGGGGCTTTTATGGACCATCAGTTTGTCACAATTGCTTTTAGGAAAAAGATTCAAATAATCATTTGTTTTGTAACTGTGTGTATGCTGTTGAAGTATGGCAGTAGGTTGTCCTTTGGTTGGGAATTCCTTATATTAGATTTCATAATCTTAGTTTATTTATGGAATGGATGATGCAAATTACAAAGGATAAGGGAAGCAAGTCCAAGATTTTGAAGGGGCTATTTTCAGTATTTATTTGGAAGATTTGGTTGGAGAGAAATTTAGCTTTACATAGAGGTGTCAAAGCTTCTTCTGCTGCTACTGCAAATGATATCATTTGGGAAGTTTTACATTTCTTTTCTTTTGGTCTAGCTGATGTTCTAGCTATTTTTGATGTTGCTTGATGTTTTCTGTTGCTGGTTCTTAGCTTAGTTTGGAAATAGATATGCTTTATTTCATATTTCTTTGTAAAGAGGGGTATGCCTCTCTATTGTATCTTGTACTTTATTTTTCTATCTTGAAAATTTATAAAATCAACCCATTTAGGAAAAAAACAATTGTTTGCTGGTAAGATGCGAGTCTTATGGTTGCGGCATCTCTTTTTTTCTTCCAGCAAAAAAAGGTTAAATTTCAACATACTATCGTTCTGCTCTTGATTCTATGCCAAACTTCGAATAGTTGGAACTAAGTGCTCAATTGGTATTACTGCTTCGGTGTCGTACGCCATAGCGAATGGGCTTTCTTCGGTTGGTCGTCTAAGGGTTGTTCTATAAGCTCACAAAATGTTCGGAAGCTCGTCCAACCATTTACCCTTTTTGTCTTCAAGCTTCTTCTTAATACATGCAAAGATTGTTCTATTTGTGATTTCGGCTTGACCATTCGCCAGCGGATGACTAACCGCTGCCAACTTTTGATTGATTCTGTATTCTTCTAGCAATTCCCTCACTTGCTTATTGTTAAGGTTAGTCTCAAGTTGGATCGCTTGGCTCAGCGTGGTGCCTTCTGGAGTCTGCAGCTTGATCCCTATGCCTACCCCCATTTGATTTGAAGAACCATCAATGAAAAGCTTCCATGATAAACTTCTGAGGTCTTCTTCTATGTCTTCGACATCATATTCCAGTAAGAAAGTAGCCACGTATGGCCGTTCGGGGCTCATACGTTATGGCAAACGAGCTTAGCTCAATGACCCACTTTGTCATTCTTCCTGACAGATTTGGTTTATGCAGGATCGCCCTTATAGGAAAGGTGGTAAGAACGATTATAGGATGGGATTCAAAATAATGCATGAGCTTCCTCTTTGCATTCACCAATGATAGGATCATTTGCTCGGCTTTTGAATATCTTCTCTCCGGTTCGGCCATTGTATTGCTAACGTAGAACATTGGGAACTGTTTTTCGTCTTCACACCATATCAAAACGGCCCTTGTTGTAATGTTGGACACGCCAAGATATATGAATAACTTTTCACCTTGCATTGGGGCAAGCAAACAAAACTGGAGGGTTCCGTATATACTTCTTCAACCTGGTCAGTGCCTGTCATTGCTCATCCCCTCAGGCTTGTTTTCCGTGACCTCTTATTGTATCGAAGATCGGTTTGTAGCAATCTGACAACTTAAAAATGAATCGGCTCAGTGCTGCTATTCATCCGGTGAATGCCTGGACTTCCTTAACTATCTTTGGTTTTGTGTTTTTCATCAGAGCTTCAGCTTGGGCTGGGCTAACTTCAATCCCTCTGTTGTTGACCACATGCCCCAGGAACTGTCCAGAACCTACACCAAACGAGCATTTGGTTGGGTTAAGCATCATACCATACTTCCTCAACACCCCGAACACATCTTGCAAATGTTGCAAATGATGGTCCTTCTTTTTACTTTTTACCACTATGTCGTCAATATAGGCTTCCACAGTTTTGCCCATTTGACTTTTGAAAATTCTGCTAACCAGCCTTTGATAAATGGCTTTAGCATTCTTTAGTCCAAACGACATGACCTTGTAGCAATATATCCCTCGTTTGGTAATAAAAAAAAGTTTTTTCCTCATATTTCGGATCCATAAGAATTTGATTGTAACCCGAATAAGCATCCAGAAAGGTCATTCGTTCATACCCAGTAGTGGCATCCACCATTTGATCAATCTTTGGTAATGGAAAACTATTCTTTGAATAAGCTTTATTTAGGTTGGTGAAGTCAATACAGACTCTCCATTTCCCATTCTTCTTCTACATTATAACCACATTTGAGAGCCAAAATGGGTACCGAACCTCTCTGATGAACCCTGCCTCAAGCAACCTATCAATTTTGTCAGCTATAATTTGATTACGCTCTGGGGTGAACCTCATCTGCTTCTGTCTAACACGTTAAGCATTCGGATCTATATTAAGAGAATGATATGACACAAAGGGAATCTATCTAAATGGGTCCAGGCAAACACATTTGCATTCTGAGACAAGAACTCAACTAGTTATCATTTCTCTTCCTCTGTAAGCCCTGACCCTACTCTTATGGTTCTATCTGGGTTCAGAGGATCAATCTGCACGTCAATAAGGGGTTCTTCTATAAGAACTAAAGGTTCTTCCTCCTCCCCAGTCTCCTTGGGTGGAGGCCCTGTAATTACATCTCGGGGCTACCAAACCCAGGAGTTTTTCCCTTCCCAGCGGCTTTCAGAGTTATATTCCTTGGCAGCTACTTGGTCCCCATGGATATCAATTACCTTGCTCCCATCTGGGCTTAAGCATCTTATCACCTGGTGCAGAGTCGACGGGGCACTTTGGACCCTGTGAATCCACCCTCTTCTCATCAAAAGATTATAAGATGGATGGATCTTAATGACCACGAAGCTTTCAATCAATTCTTTTTTCTGTAGCATGTACTGGCAGTTCGACCATACCAATAGGCTCCACTCATTTCCCATCGAATCCTAACAGTGGATTTCTTGTGGGTTTGAGCTTTTCTGGCTCAATCTCGAGCCGGTCAAATGTTACTCTTAGCATGACGTTGGTGTTACTTCCCCGATCAATCAAAACTATTTGAACCAGGCATTCTGCTACCGTCAGGCTAATGACCAAGGGATCTTCATGAAGGAAAAAGAACTCGTAACAGATTCACTCTGTCAAATTTTATCTTAACTGAGCTGTTGTGCTGGTGCAGGGCGTTTTCACTACCTATCCTCTTCTTCATTTGTGCTTGACGAAGATGCATTTGGTGCAGCTTTTTTTATTCTTCATTCGGCTCAGGCCGACTATAAATTGCATTTATTATCCGAACGGGCTAAGTGTTATGATAGTTCAGCTTCTGATTTCTTTTCACTTGCTCAGCCGGTTGGTTCTGCTCCACTACTGGTCCTTGAATTTATCTAGTGAACTTTCCTTTTGCTATCAGCATCTCCACTTGTCTTCTCAAATTCCTGCATTCATTAGTCAGATGGCCAAAATCACTATGAAAAGCACAATATTTAAATTGATCTCTTTGTTTGAGTAATTGTCTGATTGGCAGGGGAGGGCAAAACTTATCTTTATTTTCTTAAAATAACCTCGCTAGGGTGACTTTAAGTGGAGTAACTGACTCGTCCTCTCTAGGCCTCTTTTCTGCTTTCCTGGAGGTTGGGCGTTGTGGTGCAACTTCTTTTGGTTTGATCTTCATTTTGGTCTTCTCCTCCATCGCTACCATGGACATCTTCCTTATGTTGGCAGCTTCTTCCTCTTCCAAACACACAAATCCATCTGCTCTATCATTCAGCTCGTCCATGGTTCTTGGCGTACTCACCACTAGATTCGTGTGGAATGATGTTCCTCGAATCATGGCCAATTTGAACACTTGAACTGTGGTGGACGGATGGCACTCTATTACCATGCTCTTTACTAGGTTGAATTTGGTGAGGAAAGCTTGGAGACGTTCTCCTTTTAGCTATTTTATTGTAAACAGACTTGAAATATCCTTAGCCGGACACTTATTTTTGTAATACTGGCTTATGAATCTGTCGCATAGGTTCCAAAAGCTTTCCACCGAACCTCTTGCCAAGTTTTTAAACTAGTTGAGCGCTGGTCCGATCAGTCTTGTAGGAAAAATTTGCACATTAAAGGATCATTTCTGTGTTCAGAGCCATTTTTAGTTGAATATGGTAAACATGCTTGATCGGATCACTCGTTCCATCGAACAGAGTAAAAACCGGCATAGAAAACTTCCTTGGATTCGGAGCATTTAGGATCTCATTTGTAAATGGTGAATCAACAATCCGCGCCGCCGAATGGAGGACTTCATTCTCCCTCAGGAGTATATTTTGCTCAACAGATCTCTTGCCTGAACTTCTGTAGTCATACGTGGCCATTGACGGTCAGTAGAGCAAATCGAATGATCTTTCCTCTGTTGACTCCCTTTGCCATGATGCCGTAGCCTTATTGTGACCAAATTCCATAGCCTCCTCTCACCTAAGTTTTTTGTGATACGGATCGAACGACATAGATTCTTCTTGCCGGATCCTTTCACGATGCAGATCAATCTTTATGGCTTCTTTTCGCCTGATCCGTTCGCAATACGGATCGATCTCCATGGCTTCTTCTCACCTGATCCATTTGTGATGTGGATTGATCTCCATGGCTTTTTTTTGCTTGATTCGTTGGTGATATGGATCTAAATGGATAGATCCTTCTCGATCCTCTACATGATGGATATTTGGCGAAAAATCTTCTGGCCTGATCTCTTCGCGATGAAGATCTAGGTGAACGTTTCCTTCTTGTTCGCCCTGGTAAGCAACATTTGGTTGCAGAACTCTCACTCCTACTGGAGGCGGTCGTGGAATAACTGGAACTTCTCAACGCTCCATTCCGGCTCTAAATTCCGCATTCTCTTTTCTCAGAGCTTCAATCATGCTCATCAATTCGTCAAGCTTTGTGTCTTGTTCATTCTCTTGTGGACAAAAACTCTCTTCTCCTATCATCGTTCCTGATCATAGCAGAGTCATCAACCGATAAATCTTAATCAGATCTAAACTCTGCTAATGAGAATGTACCAGATCTGGCCTCGACCTGGCCAAATTCTGATCTCCTCTTGCTGGATCTGAATCTTTCTTGCCGTGAACTCATCAGTTCTAGCCTTCGTCAATCAGGATCAAACCTCTATAGAACAGATCACGATCTTGTAGATTCAAAATCCAATTTCCAAAGATCAAACTTCTACTTTGCAAATCAATCCTGATCCTTCGAAGGAACGATCAATTTACTTGCAGCGAGCTTGATGATCGACTGGATCCTTCCTTTGATTCCCACATACGGCGCCATTGAAGATGTAAAAAACACCTCTCTCTATTTGGAAAGAAAAGTTTTTACACTTCAAAAATATCTCAACCCCTTTTCCCTCTCTTTTCCTTCTATTTATAGGGATTTACAATTATTCTAAAAGCTTCCCATTTTACTCATCTTGTTGGGCCGTTTTGTTGAACTTTTTCTTTATACATGGACTAATTCCCTTCTCTTATAGATTGGGCCTGGAGATCGTCCTAATGAAGATTGGGCTTGATGGGACTCTGCCTAAACGGGTCAATTGCTCTTGCCCGAGTCATCCTTTAGTAATTTGGGTTGTGCCCGGCCCGGGTCATTTTTGGTATCTTCAGAAACATTCTTCAATATAGAAACACTCTTCAACCCTCTATCTTTGCCTGTGAAACTGAATAATGGATTCAGACCTTCTTTCACGTATATATATAGAGGGTTGGGACCGTTTCTAAACATTGCCAAGAGGAGACATGCTGGTTCCATCAACCAACACACCCCTCTGTAGATAAATAATAGTTATAAATTAAACTGTAATAATATGATACGTCACATCTCTTAAATATAGATAAAATTCTAAAATCATTTAAATAAAAGTTAAGATTAATTATATTAAGACCATTTTTTTTTCTTACATAACTATATAGTCCTTATATATATATATATATATACACACACACACACACACACACACGCACACACAAAAAGACTCTCACTGGACTATAAGGCGGCCTCAACCTAAATAGTAGGTAACATGCAATACGCACACATAATGGGCATGGGTACCATACTCTACCAGGGCATACATTATCCACTATATCCAGCTATGCATCCCAGGTAATATACGCGCCCTAACCACTGATTCTGAGGGCTCAAGCTTGGTGTACGGTCGTGTCAATACACCCAAATTGCATAATAAAAGTGTAGTGTGGCCAAGTTTAAATTTACAGAATGTCACTACCATTACTAACTAAAATATAGCAAAAGTGAGTAGGGATTGTCCCAAGGGATATGGAGTGTATGTTTGTTTGGAAATCAAGGTCAAATTAGTAGGTCGAATGATCAAAGATGGTTTGATTGGTTAATTAAACTATAATTTAAACTAAATAAAAACAATGTGAAGCAACTAGAATAAATGGAGTATAGAGAATATAAGAGAAAGGTCTTGAGACTTAGAGTTCACCACTAAGCATTGCCTTCCTAGACATTCAATGTTTAATGGATTATAGGGATTATATGTTGTAATTGAAAGTGTGTCATTAATTAAATTAACAAGTATGGATGGCCAAGTAAGTATACATTGTCTAGCCAAACTAGTGAATAGTACAACATATCAAATCAAGCCATTATTCCTTCTTTTAAGTCCACAATTAATGCACATCATGAAATTAGAGAAATATACTTCTTGCATTCATAAGTATAGAATATCAAAAAACAAGTATGGATTGTCCTCCCATCTAAGAAAGTAAGGCAGCTACACTACAACTAAGCTAGTGACATGAAAATTAAACTAATTAAGCAAAGGAGGAGGCACAATCTATCAAGAAATAAGTATAAATCATCAAACAAACCACAAAAGTAATCTATTTAAGCACTATACCTTGACCATTACTAGATTCATAGTATCAACACACATAGACATGCATCAATATCATAAAATCTAGAAATAAATACATGAACATTCATCCTAGCATACATAGACATATGGATAGAATTAAATGATCATTTGGAAGAATTAAACTACACAAATCATTGTAGAAACAAGATTTATATATATAAAAGATGTTAAGACAAACATTACAACACAAATCCCCTTTAATTACAAAGCATCAAGGTCTAGAAGGCAGGCTTAGGGCTATCTCTAGCCCCAAGAGAATGGTTTAGCCACTCGTTGATGATGTCATCCAACCTTTAAGGGCTATCTCCATGGTAGAAATAGTCTTCTTCTCCTTGGTGGAAACCCTAGATGAGTGGAAGAGCTCTCTCAAGATGGTGTATATCTCTCTCTCTCTCTAATCTCTAGACTCCTCTCTATAGTTGTATCTCTTATTTCCTTGGTTCCAAATAGCTAAAATCCTTATATAGGTAGCTCAAATGTCACACCCAATGGTCAGACCTCGTGTAATAGGACCTCCAAATGATTGCACCACAAGCACACTTTTTAATTGGTTGAAACTCTATTTTTTTCGCACTTGAGGAGGTTCGATCGATCATAAGGCTGGTTCAATCGATCGAACTAAAGCGGCGCCTTTTTGAAATAAAGACAAAGTTGAGATATTTTTGGGATATTTTGGGAAAAGGACAAAAGTGGTAGGTGGGGATAAGATAAAAAATGTTCGATCGATCGAATGAATGTTGCATCAATCGAAAAAGGAAATTTTTTGAGGATAAGGAGAAAAGGCTCGATCCATCTTGGCATGGTTGGAACAATCACTGTGTGATTGATCGGAGATTGGTTCGATCGATCGAAGAATGCTGTTTTTCACCACTTTGCCTCCACTTTGCTCCTTTCTTCCACTAAGCTTGAGATTGCATCTTTTATGCTTTAATTCAACTAAATTGACTTATTTTGGGGATAACTGCTTGAAAAGGGAAATAACATGAAATTAGACTAAAACGGGAAAATAAGATAAAATAAGGTCCTAGAATGTTTAAGCTTAAGGGGTTAAAATACGCCCTTTTTAGCGCTTATCACACCCCTGAACTTAAATATTGCTAGTCCCTAACAATGAACTATAAATGAAATAAAGAAATGAACAATAAACAACTACGAACTAGAAAGCAATAAAAGGATAACACCAATTTCGTAGGGAACATGATTGCATTTAGCATATGCAACAAGCCTTTTAATCCCCTAGGTTACCCTTAGTAGACGAGTGAAGTCTCATGAAGGTTTTCAGAAATGATACCCATAAACATTAAGCTCTTTCTCACTAAAGAGGCACCAAAATTCCAAACAAGCATTGGGAGAAAACTACCTCAAGTATGCAATTTTTCAACCATTTCTAAGTAATCTCCCAAAATCTCAACATTAAGCAAGCAAGGGTGGTCCTCCACACATCAAGACAATGATTAAGTAAATCAAAACAAATCTAGAATCCTTTTTAAGTGAACAGGCATCAAATATGTTGCTATCTAAGCCAACTAAAGAAATGATCACATCCGGTCTCAAACTAGCACACAAATCTAGTACCGATCATCAAGACAAAGAGTGGACCTTTTATTAAAGCTTTATTCATCTAGGTGCGCTTATTCTTTTCGCTCAATTTTTTTTTTTTTTTTTTTTTTTCTAATCCTAAGGATCAAAGATGGAAGCATAGTGCAATGTGTTAATCTATTAAGCTTTTTAGCGATCTATGAGGTCGAGCATTAGGTCATTGACTCCCAAACCGGACGACTTTAGGGCATTAGGTGTTTAAACACCCCTAAGGACTTACAAGCTCAAATCAACTAGGTTACAAATCAAAACAACCTCCATCTAATCATTTCCCACTTCTCACCTTTTGGGAGAAGTCCTTACCTTTTTTATTTGCTTTTGCAACAACATTTTTTTTTTTTTTTTCAAGTTCAATTATTAACCTAGAGTTTAGGCCCTCCACCTCTCGGCACGAGAAATTTAGTTCTTGATGAATCCCGGCTACTTAGTGAAAAGAGTTTGTTATCCACCTTTATCAAGTATGAAAGCTTTCAATGCACTACTAGCTCAATTGGGATATAACCAAATTAATAATTAACAAAGCATGTACCCCACAAATGAATGCTAGTATGCGCATGTGCTAGTGTAGAATTTTAGAGTGAATCTCAAAACAATCACAAAATCAAGATGATGTAAACCACGAGTGCAAGCATGATATCAATTTTTCAAAAAATTTACTCCTAAATGGCATCCACAAGGCATACAAGGAGTATTGGACTCTCAAGTCAAGCAATTTATAAATTCTAAGCAATATAGTCCTCAAAAGATCAAAATCATTGCTAAAATGGAATTAAGTCTCAAACTTAAGTAAAATGCAATAAAGTCACTTTATCCCCAAACTTAAACTGCACATTGTCCTCAATATGCAATGAGAACAATGGAAGAGATGGAAAGAATATACCGTGGTGGAAAAAACATGAGGCTCGATAGTGAACCCTTGGAAAAAGTGCACCCCCAAACTTGGAATCAACAACCTATTTGAATTCCCACACTAGCAAACTCACATCAAATTGCAAATCGGATTAAAAAAAAAAAAAAAACAAAAAAAAGAAAAAAAAAAAACTAACTCAAGCATTCTAAGGCAATATAGCACAAAATGAAAGAGGGATATGAGATCAAGCCTAAAAGAAAATATGAAAGTAGCATGACTACACATAAAGGTGCATTTTTTTTTTTTAGAACAAGAAAAGTAATAAAAAATAAAAAATAAAAATAAAAAGGAAATATGCAAAATGGGTGCTAAGTTTAACGTCTCTAGCAAGAAGGAATGCGATTTAAAATTAATTAATTTATTTATTTATTTATTTTGTAGAAACAACTATGAACTTCGATCGATCCAAGACCTGAAACCTGCAGAAAGCTTCGAGTGATACACAGAAAGATGATTTTTCAGAGTTCCAAAAATTTTCTAAGTATAGAACTAAGATCAATCGAAAATGAAACTAGATCGAACGAGGAAACTAGGATCGATCGGAGAA